TCATGCATAAACTGCGTAGAATACGTAGTAAATACGTAGTAACTTAAAATTCACATGATTTGTCTACGCATCCTTATCTATACCATAAGAGATTTACAATGGACAAAGATGAAATATATTGTGAAATGAATGCATGTGATAATTGGGTACTATTTTTATAAAACTTCAAAAGTTTATTACGGAATTTTGAACCTTAATACATACGTACGAGTCTAGTGATCATACTACGTTTCAGGTTTAAGCGCGACTGCGTCGCGCAGTTACCCCAATATTTTTATTCAGCTTATATAAAATTTTTTAATTATTTAATGTCATATAAACCAATTATAGCATAAAAAACCGAAAGCGCAGTTCTGGTGTTACAAATAAGGAGAATCAAATAGCATAGTGATAAGTGAGTTGTACGTACCAGTAGGTAAAACTGATTCTAGAATAGAATTATACCGAGAGAGATCACCCTAATGTGGCTGAACTAGGTTATGATGATTAGAGCACTAGATTACGTCACGGGTTTATACAATTTTATACGTACGTACGATTTTATAATTTTACATAATTATTAACCAAATGGGGAATTATTAGTGCGAAACACTTTTTGTTTTGATTTTCGAGTGTTGAACACTCTAATGGAATTATTTTTATTCCAGATGGGAAATTCACATTATGCGTATAAGTATATCTTTTACAATACTTTACATTATTTTATGATTTCCCATCATTCTAGAGATTGGAATAGAATCTTTAATTCACTGAATATTCGAGTTAATTCGATTTAAAATTATATTCGAATTAAGTTCGAATATTCATGCATAAATATACGTGAAAAATGGATGCTATATAAGGTAGCCATTATATAAGCAATACAACCGTTATGCCTACAATGTAGTCGTTAAATATATGTATGCGATACACTGTAATATAGTTATTATAACCGTTATAATCATTATAGCTGTTATAACCATTATATCTATTATAGCAATTATAACCGTTATATCCATTATAGCAGTTATAACCGTTATAGCCGTTATAGCTGTTATAACAATATTCTAACGGTCTAACCATTATAAAAGTATTCTAACAGTCTAAACTGATCTAACGTTTAATAACAGTTAAAATCATTTATGCGAATCAGTAGGCGAATCAATAAATTTGAATGTTATATAAATTTAATATGAATTATTTGAATTCAAATTAAATAAGTTCGAATGTAAAAATTAAGTTCGATTCTAATCTCTACATCATTCTTGGAGATGGCAGGAATTCTTGGAATTCGTACACGGCAAGGACCGCAGTATTTTCTTGGGGTTTTTTAAGGTAGATCATCCCTTTTACAACGTTTTTACAACGTATACCAAAATCTTGTCCAACGTCCGGTCCAAACATCCAAGCATTTATAATTATTGTATATTATACTTTAGGAAATGAAAATAAGTTATCTTTAGTAATGCCAATTTGACAATGCTGTCCGATGACAATATTGATTTTTTAAAAAGATCGTTTTTAATTACGAAAACAAAAGATACGAAAATACGAGTAACAGAAAGATAAGTAACAGAAAAGTAATGAAAATCGCATCCAAGTGTATATGTATAAACCCATGTTTCAATACGTAAATATTTCATAAATGTGTGAAGCATATTATCGTTTTCTACATCTTTTACACTATACCAAAAAAAACCACAGTTCACTCTGTTATCTATATATGGATGTTATATCTGAATTCCAAATCCGGATTCTAAAAAAGAACAAGTTTCAGCAGAATATGGTAATTTATTACGTAAAGACAATTGATCTAAAAACCTTACTTACGCCAAAGTCAAATATAGTAAAATGACAGTCTTATTGTTCTTTAACGCGAAACTTTATGAAACAGAAGAGAATGAACATTATAAATCGAGAAATTAAAACATACATACATAGAAAAACTTTATGCACAAGTGGAAATATTCAGTAAACATTCAGTAAATATTCAGTAATGAGGCGGTTTACGATAGTAATCAGTTACAGCAGCAATCAGTTACAATAGTAGATAATAGTAATAATAGTAATAGTAATCAGTTACGACAGTAAACATGTTACAATTACAATAGTAATCAGTAATAGGTTTACAACAGTTACAATATTGCAATAGAATGAATGAAAACAGTAATGATCGAAATTCACTTTCTGCATATTAAATCTTGATAAAGAAAGATATCGTACTAGATTTGATAACAGGCCTAAAGTCATATTTTAAAAGTCATTTAAAACATGATATTATGGTAAACAATGGCTGCGGATTTGTATTAATAGTTTTTTCAACCATATGAACATAGTTTTAAGAGATTATTTTTTCACATGATTATCATTTACTATTATTATTTTAATTACTAATATCACTGTTAAATATATCATTTCATTTTTGTCATGGACCAACGTTCAAACAATAGCATCGGTAAATTTCATATTGTAACCACAGGAAGATTTTAAAGCAGCTAAAATTTGTTGCTATATATATCTATATAATTTTAAACTATTTTAACTATCTTTGAGTAATAAATAAATGCGTCTTATCTTAAACAAATAAAATAAATGCGTTTTAACTTTTTAACAAATAAAGAACATTTTGTTTTACACTACCCAATTTTAGACGCATCAAAGTAATACCGGTTTTTAAGATTTCCAAGCCTTGGTGTTGTCATAAACAATATAGATATTAATTTTGATTACCATGAACCTTTTTTAGTCATTTACTTACGTACGTACGTAAGTATATATGTTACGTACGTTAGGTATGTATGTTACGTACGTACGTAGGTACGTATGTACTTGCGCATTTGAGTGCGTGAGAATGAAAACCTGTAACTGATCATAGTAAATCATTATAATCAGTTCCAGGTTTTTATTCTCACGCACTCATTTATTTTGATATGTTCTCGTTCATTCTATTACGTACGTACAGTACGTATATAAATTGACATGAGACACCTAATCCTGGATATAAGTATAAATTTAGAGTAATTTAGAGTAATTTAGAGTAATTTAGAGTAATTTAGAATAATTTAGAGTAATTTAGAATAATTTAGAGTAATTATGTAGAGTAATTTAGAGTAATTTAGAATAATTTAGAGTAATTATGTAGAGTAATTTAGAGTAATTAATTTAGAGTAATTACTTAGAGTAATATGGAGGAGCTATAGTATTGGTACATATAATTCTTATGAACAATGAAAACTAGTTTTTTCATTGTATTAATTTATAAATTAGGTAAGCAGTTGAAAGGGAATATTTGTTTTTTGATGGGGTTTAGTTAGCGTTAGAAATGCTCACACAAAGGTCGGATGTTAATAATAAAAAAATTGTGGGGAATTGTTCTGAAGAAGTTTCGCATAGAATTGCATATACTGTAACTCATGTAACTCATGTAACTCAATGATGGATTTTAGCCACGTTTTTGATAGTTAAAATTATCTAAAATATGTATGATTAAAAATTTGGCATTTAATCTTTGGTTCTTTTTTTACAATAATAATAATTATAATAATTATAAATAATAATGTTTTATTTTGCCGCAGAAAAATGTACCCAGATCATCTTGGGGCCACGAAGATTTCGCAGTTTTCTATTGCCGATAAACAGTAAATCATTATGAGTCAGCTTAATTTAGTAAAATTCTATGACACATTTAATATCGTTGTTACGTATACTGTAGGTTAAAAAAAAAAAGGTTATCTTAAAATCACTTTATGGAATTAATATAACGATAATGAGTCAACAAAAAAAGAGACCAAATTTATAAAGATAAATTAATTATATATATATATATATATATATATATATAAATACATATACATATACATATACATATACATATATGATTTATATAATATATATCATATATTATATATCATATAATATTATAATCTTAACGTCAAGAATAACGGGCCAACTCTATGACTGTATGATGCAGTGAAAATCAAATTACAGTTTAAAACTTGGCGGCAAAAATTATTAACCTATAAATTGTATCACACAATAACGAATAAGCATCTTGGCAGTACAAACCACGCGAGAATTTCATTGTTTCTTTTCATTCATTAGTCTTGACTTCTTTGTTCTAAATAAAAGAATAAGAGTATCAGTTGATCACTTTTGAAGATGATCGGGGAATAATCGGGGATTGAATTGAGAATGACTGAAGAATAATCGGAAGAATAATAGAGGAATGATTAGGAAATGACAATAATTTATTTCAGATATTTCAGATACTTCAGATATTTCAGATATTTCAGATATTTCAGATATTCAGACGTCGCTGCGTATATGGTAGAATATGGTATAATGTGGTATAAGTATAATATGGTATAATTATAATGTGTGGTATAATGTATAATGTGGTATAATTATAATGTGTGGTATAATGTATAATGTGTGGTAATGAGAAAAAGAATTAATAATCGGTCGTCTTTCTATTACGCTATTACGTTATTATGATTCTTTTGCCGATTATATATCATAATTAGAAGCAAAGAATCTCAAAATGTTCTTTAATTGCACCACGGAAAAGATCTTCCGATTACGTTTTAGCTAAATTACATCATTAAGAATCTCGGAACATCTTTTGAAATTACGAATGCCTTCAAACATAATTTTAAAAGATATACACTAGTCAAGTTTATTATTATTGTAATCATTAAATTCCGGACTTTCATTAAAATCCTGTTTACAAGAAAAATACTAAAAAAAAAAAAAAAAAAAAAAAATTGTGCGCTGCATTACTCGTCGATTATTGTAGATCTAGAAGTTCTACTATGTTTTTTTCATTATGCATTGTCATACTATAAAGTGATAAATTCCCTTCTTTTGGTTATATGTAACATTCAAGGATTGCCAAGTAAGCAAAACTTTATCACCAAATGATGGCGCAGACATTTATAATTTATCTATAAATATAGGATTTGATTCACTTAAGTTGTAAAAAAGTAAATTTTTGTACGTACGGCTGGCTGCGCCGCGTTTTCATGTCAAATCAAAGAACCTTGCAGTATGGTATTGCGGCGGCATTAGGTGGAGACGAAAATACACTCAATATCCAACATACGAGCGGTAGTATATCCGCTCCTCATCTTCCCTTCCCTCCAACTGACCAGGCTTTGAATTTGGCCTTGAATTCATTACGCTCGAACAAGGGAAACTTTCCCATAAATGCATTTATCATTTATCGGGAACTATTTCTAGAATACTTAAAATCTAAATCTCAAGGAGTACAATTCTCTGACCCATCATCTGTAATATTGGATGCTTGGTCAAAAGAACCTACAAATGTCAAAAACTTTTATTCAGGGCTGTTATGTTCTAATGCCTTGAATGAGACTTCTCAGACGGTGTTTGACTCCGTCATGTCTCCGATAGAACATCCAAATTCGGTGTCCTTTTCTGTTCAAGATGAAAATGGTTATGATTTTGACTTATTTAACTCTGGTAGCTCTGAATCAAGTAAGTTTTATTTAATATTTCTTTAATATTTATTTAATATTTATTAAATATTTATTTAAATGTTTCTTTTTTCTAACTCTCAAAAATTTTATCTTTTCCTTAATTTAGTTGGTGGTCCTCCTACTCCAATGTCAATTACTAATAGCCCTTTTGACTCATCTAACATTCCGAGTTCGGAAAATAATGCCAATGGGCGCTTGTTTTTCCCGGCTCTTGCTCATATCCAACGAAGGCCATCGTACCCTGACCCTTCAGATGATGGGCACTCAACCGAATTTGGCTTTTCATTGTTTTAAAAAGAAACGACAAAAAAAAAAAAAAAAAAAGAGAAAAAAAAAAAAAGAAAAAAAAAATTCAAATTTTATTTTGAGTTTTATAATGAGTCAACGGGGATACTCCTTCGGGGATTTGGGTTTCTTTTTCGATAAACGTGCGCAGTTAAAAAGACCATCGGCGATCATGCAGTTACATATCTTTTAGGTTACGATCATGGACCATTTATCATTTAAAAGTCCCAATGATTAAATTCAAATAATAATTGTGAGACCGAAACTGAATTATGGGAACTGAATTATGTGAGACGAATTTTAAAAATAATGCAAGATTTGGTTCGTTAACTCTTGCCACGTAGAAAAATCGTAGAAAAATTGTAGAAAAATTATTGGGATGATTTAATTTCTTTTCTGTATATTATTATTAAGTTATGTAAGCCTTTTATGCAAAATTTAATGTACGTACATTATGATTCTTTATGATTATTATGAAATATATATTCGCTCCTTTATATATATTTAATATATTAATATATAATCCGTCGTCGTATCTTGCTTGATTGTTGATTGATTGTTTTTTTTTTTTTTGAAGAGTTTTGATTCGTGTATATATATATATATATATATATTAATGTTATGGAAAACAAAAAGCGATCCCGTTCTCAGGAAGATCATCTATACTTGATACCTTGAAATTTTTTGACGTGGGTTAACATAGACGTGGGGTGAACGAAGTTGAACAAAGTTGAACGAAGGAGCACGCGGTTCCAAATGCATAAACTAACATGGATCGAAAGCTATGAATTTATTATTGTTGTTGTTATTCTTATTTGTTTTTATGAACTATATATTATTATTATTATTTTTTTTTATGTTTCTTTTTTTTTTTTTATGTAATTAAGATATATAAATAAATGCGCTTTAAAGTTATATTAGATCAAGTACGTACTTGTTTTGCAAATGTTCTTTGACCACTTGGCAAGAAATGTCAAATAAATAAGGCATACAAATATTTATTGCGTATCTATAAATAAAGAACCGGTCTGATTTTCTTTGGTTTCTTGTTTGTTTCACCGTTACATATTATTACTATTATTGTCAAGTTAAAAAGAAAATCATCACGAGACTTTCAAAGATGTCGCTTTCTATCATTTCTATCAAAGAATTTTTTTTTCCAAGAATTCTATAATTTTTTTTTGTCAATGATGTAATTTTTTTAATATTGAATAACAGAATAGTTAAGCAGAATAGTTAACTCACATGAGATTCATTCAAATAGGATGCACAAAAAATTGTTTCTCATCTGCTTTTTTTTTTATTATTGTATTTTGATACTTTATTTTGATATTTTATTTTGATACATTTTTACGTATTATGATACAGTATATCTTATTTTGATTCGATACTTAATTTTGATAATTTTATTTTATGCTTTATTTTGATACTTTATTTTGATACTGTAATTTGATACTTTATTCTTATTTTGATACTTTATTTTTATACTTTATTTTGATACTTTATTTTTATACTTTATTTTGATACTTTATTTTTATACTTTAAAATTTTTATGACAAACGAAAAATCTGGTTTTCTCCACAAAGGCAGTAAGTAGTACGACGAATATGTCGTGTTCATGTAAACAGAATGTATGAACTCATTATTTTCAATGAGAGGTAACAGAAACATAAAAAGCAAAGTCTCATTCTAACTTTCAAAAGCGTCCTAGATCTTTTTTTTCTTATGTATGACCTTAAACCCGTGATAAAAACTAAAAATTTGTATGATCATCGATCTCGTTGGTTTTTTTCGTTAAATAATTTTTTATAATAATTTAAATTTTTTTTTTTTTTTTTGAAAAAAAAAAACGATAACCGGATTTTTTTTTATCACTATTCTGACCTATTCCGATTAACCTATTCCGAGTAACCTATTCTGATTATTTTGACCTATTCTGATTATTTTGACTTATTCTGATTTTATTTTGACTAATTTTGACTGGTGCTAATTCTGACTGGTGCTATATTGACTGGCGCTATACCGTTACCGTCTGGCGTTTTTTTTTTTGATTTAATCCAGTAATCAGTTTATAATCAGTTTATAATCAGTTTATCAGTAATATCAGGGTTATCATAATGCGCATATATTAACAAAATATTATGTTTAAAAAAAATGTTCATTATTGTCCATATATTTTTACATACTTACTTTCATTATATGCAAGGTTCTCATTGACTTTTCGTATATCTGTATATGTTAGTATGATTTTCTTCATTGAGAAGCCAATCAAATTAATGTTTCAATGACGATTTAAATCTTCATATTTACTATAAACTTTTATGTATTAGTATTATAATTTTTTATTGCGTACGTATAAATACGGCATGAGTTCACTATAATTTGTATGATGAATCTTTTACTTTTTTCAATAAACCTTTCCGTCTTCTCCTCCTCCTCCTCCTCTTCCTCCTCTTCCCCTTGTTCTTCTTCTTCTTGGTCCTCTGGTAATGGAAAGACTTACTCCCGCGAAAAAAGTTTTACTTACTCCTGATATTTTATACGGTATTTCTTCTTATTTTGACCGTCAGGATGACCTCTTAAAATGTGTCTTTGTACATCCTATGTGGGCGATAGTATGTTTATTATTTATCTATATATATCTATAACTCATCTCTCTTGGTATCTTTATATAAACTTTTATATATATATATATATTTTTTTTCTTTCCTTTCTTTCTTTCTTTCTTATTCTTACGGATCTCTTCTATAATATCTTATTTATTTTAAAAGGTCTTTGTAAGGCAATTATGGAAAGCTCCCATATGGAAAACTAAAGATTCTGTCTATCTCTTTTTACGTACTCTTCGAAAAGTAAAATCTTTCTTTTTATACGGTCATATGGTCCATAGAGTCGTATTTAAAATTTATAGGTCTTATGATACCACTTCTGCTTTTACCGCTAATGATCTTAGAGTAATTTCTCGAAAGTGTCCTAATTTGAGACATCTTACTTTTGCAACCACGGTTCCACCTTTCTCCCATTCTAATGTAGAACTTCTTTTAAATTCTGCTCCTAACCTACTCACTTTCTCTGTACTTGATTGTGATAGTCAATGGTTAGAAGGTGCGCTTACGCCGTTACGCCAAGGTCGATGCCCTAAATTACAGCATTTAGAGATAAATGACTGTAATAGGTCTTGGTCTTTTAATGTTTTGAAAGATATTGGTGAAAATTGTCCTTCTATTATCTCCTTGAAATTATATCAACGTGTAAACTCTTTACAATTAGCAAAGTTGATCGTTAACTCTTTTCCAAATCTTCAAACTTTCGAATGTAAATATATTAATGAAGCTGGATTACAAGGTCTCATCACTGGTTTACATAATTTAAAATCTTTAAGTGCTCAATTCGAAAATGATATTCAAGTTTCTGAATCTTTGGCTCCTAAATTCGCTAAATTGGAAGCTCTCAGGATAAGAGCTATTCATGTTCAGGATCATAATCCTCTTTTCTCTGTTGCTTTTTCTCAACATCAACCTTGTCTTAGACAATTATATTTAGCTACTTTACATATAACTGATAAAACTATCAAGATGATTGCTATGAATTGTCATCATTTGGAATCTATAGAATTATTCATGTGTTTTTATTTAACCGATGTGGCAATTTCAACAATAGCTCAATATCGTGGAAAAAATCTTAAACATTTAATGTTAGCTTATAATGCTTATATTACCGATACTGGAATAAATCAACTAGCTACTCATTGTACTGAATTAAAATCTATTGTCATCATATCTTGTGCAAAATTGACTAATGTTGCTTTCAATAACATTGCTAGAGAATGTAAAGGTCTTGTTGAAGTTACCGTAAGGCATGATTCTTGTCAAATGTTGGCCTCTATTGTTCATACTTTGGCTACTAGAAATAAAGGAACATTAAAAGTTTTGAAAGCTTATGATGTTAGCGCTAAAGAAGTGGATAAAAGATCAAAATATAAGGCTGATGTTACTGTTTTAGAAAGACTTGCTATACGATGTCCTCAAATAAGAACTTTGGTGCTCAAATGTTGTATTCAAGAAAAAGATCCAAATGTATGTTTTATATATTATTTTGTATATTATTTTATTTATTATTTTATTATTTTATTTATATATTGGTTTATATATTATTTTAATTTATTTTAATATTATTTTATATATTATTTTATATATTATATTATATATTGTTT